CCAAAGAAGGGATATTAGGGAAGGGTGTTTCCCATGTTTCCAGGCACCCTAAGGGTGCTAAGGTGTGGTCAAAGGATGATCACTCATAGACAGATAGCTTAGTCTTTGAGAGACGAGATTGTGATGCAAGTTGTCTTGGACTACCAATGTGACAAGGGTGAATAACCATGGCTTTATATATCAATAATACCTTTGGGTGTTAGTTATGGGATTAGATATGTGGAGCACTTAAACTAAGTGTAAGAGTGAAGTAGTATATATATCATTCAAAAGGCTAGCATATCCCCAAGTCAAGAATAAGACTTATGGAGTTCATGAGTGGGATTCCTCCAAATGGTCAAAGGTGTGGTTAAATGAATAAAGTAAAATGGAAAATTTAATCACTTACACCACTGTGGGACTATGGTATAGCATTCAACCCAAGGAGTGAAGGGACAAGAGCACGAAGCAATGTAGAAACACTTCTAGAGCATCTAGCATCTCAATTCTAGGACAAACATGTAAAATGGAGCCAAATAGAATTTGGCTCAATTTTAGCATACTAGTGGCTTAACGTGAGGATATAGGTACTCCATCAACTAGCATGGTGTGGAACTTGGGCTTAGACCCAAGCCGGACACAGAACAATGATCGGCATGTAAGTGTAAGGAATCAACTCCCCAAGGTGTTGTAGGCTAAAGGATCCCCGAAAGCATGACCAAAATGACAAAGAGTTCATCGGATGGGACCGAGTCTGAGATCAAGTCCAAGACTAACTCTAAGACCGAGTTCGAGATAGAGTCCAGGTTCGAGTTCGAGGCTGACTTGGAGACCGAGTTCGAGGCTGAGTTCGAGACCGAGTTCGAGATCCGAGATCGGGTTCGAGATTGAGTCCGAGACTGAGTCCGAAGTTGGGTCCAAGATCAAGTCCAAGACCGAGTCCGAGTACTAATACAGGTCAAGGGGTGAAAGCCCAAAGCATGCGTCTCCCGAGGGGGGGGGCTGTAGGGGGTTCCAAAAGTATAGTAGGGATAGTGAGGTCTAGGAACCAGTCTTGAAAGAACTCTTCAGTGGTGCTTCCAAATTGACTTGAGGTTGAGACTGGGGTCGAGGGACTTTGGGTGGGAGTGAGCATAGACTCGGGTAGTGCCGGAGGGACCACCCAAGGAAGTGCTCAAGAGTAGCTCCCACTCCCAAAAGGGAAACCGACTGCAGTGCTCCCGACTCATGTGGAGTGGTGTGCCACTTGAGTACCTTGTGGTTCATTGGTCCTCGCCCTTTCTAAGGGCTTGGGCCTTCCCTTCGAGATGGAAGTGGGGGGGTAGAGGTACCCATACCGGGCTGTTAAGCCACGGTGTTTCGCCTTAGCATCCCAAAGCAAGTGTTGCACCCAAGGCTTGGGATTTAGAGGGTCCCATGATCAAGTCTTGTTGTACTAAGGGATGTTAGGAACCTGGAGGCTTGGTGTGCTTGGCTGCTTGTGCTTGCAGGGAGTGTAGCCAAACCTTAAGTCCAGTCTAACCCAGGGAGGGGGATTAGGAGAAATTTGGGAATCTATGGATGGATGGCTAATGCTCCGTTGCTTGTGCAATGAGTAGCTAAAACCAAGTAGGACCAAGTAGGAGCTGATACAATAGGTGGGAACCTTGGCGAGGGAACTTAGCAAAAACCAAGGTAGTGTTGGTCGGATAGACGAGGTAAATTGGCAAATTGGAAAGGAAAAAATTTAAGGCTTATAATTTGGTATCAGAGCCTTTTTCTCAGTTCTAGCGAAGGATAGAGGCGGATTGCTGGGAGATGGCAAAGGCAGAGCGGAAACAAACCAAGCCTTGCTTTGGGCTTTCACCCCTAGCCTCCCTTAGTACCAAGAGTTAGTTTCTGGGACAAGCGTGAAAACTTATTAAATATGGAATAGTGCTAGATTGCAAATCTAGGAGTATGAGTAACACCATAGGGTTCAAGACAATCTTTACATTCCATAGATATACTTTTTGGACAAATCTAGATACTTACTATAAGTAGCATATAGATCTGGAATGGAACTAACACATAAGGCATGATAGCGAGGATGTTTAGCAAACATAATAAGCTATCATGTAGCAATATTGAGGGATTAAACTCAATATATGAGGGTTTTTTGCTAAGCCAGTGCAAGATAGAGCAAAAGAAAACTAATAAACTACGCTAAATAGGCACTTAAGAATTCCTTCCTTATGCTCATTTGGCCAAGTATAGATGCTAACTCTAGTTTACTAACACTTGGATAAAAGGGGTTAATAAAAAGAACCAGCAATACCAACTTCCTATCATCATAGCAGTAAAGAGAGTGTCTATAAGGACTAGTCAACAAGTTTCCTTTTATACTTGAAGTCACATTTACAACACTCTCCCCCCCTTTAGGGAAGATCGATGTCCTTATTGATGCATACCTAAGTCTAACAAACCATCAAAGAAACAACTCTGAAAATTAACGGAAAGCAGATTATGTAAGAAACACACTGATTTAAATGAGTTATAGATTTATCTCTCCTCTATGTCCAAAGACATTAAGATTTAAACACCCTCCAGCCATCACTGACAAGGAAATGACTAATTGAGTTAGACATCCTTATTGCTCTGAGTATCACTCAACTTACAAAGGAATAATACATCCCTACTTGCAGGGACATAAGGAGGGAGCCAGAGACTTGACTCCCATGAGCAAAAAATCAATTCTGTTTAGAAGATTTAAACAATTATTATAAGTTGGCAGATAAAGTTATTTACATGACTACGCCCCTTTCAAAAATGAGTCAATGAGAGAGAGGTAGGGATTTATGATCAGTCTATAATAGTTCCCCATAATTATGGATTGTACCCATGTACCGAAGTGCCAAAAATCAACCTGCCAAAATTGACCCAAAAACAAATGAACAAGAGAAATGGAACTTTTGATTTTATAGAAATATATTACTTTATTGATTTGCAAGATTTATTACAAAGTTTACAAAAACTACTTTTTATTACGATTCTCATACTCCGTGACAAGCTCACAAGCATGCATAAGGTTACTAAGGGGTTCCCAAGTAGATTCACATGTTGGGCAACCCTTCCATTTAACAAGATACTCTCGACGTTTGACATGTTTAAACCTGTATCCAAAACAACTTCCACTTCATATTCAGGTTCACCATCAACAACATCTAGAGCTAAACGGACATCCTTAGAGCGGCCAAGATCCTCATGATAAAGGGCCAATAAATTGACATAAAATATATCATGAAGTCTAGACATCTTTTATGGAATATCTAACTAATAAGATATATTACCAATTTGTTTCAATACCTGATAGAGCTTAATATATTTGGTAATAGCTTCCGAGACAAAAATCCCTTAATATTCAAGTTTCGAGAAGATAGCCACACTTGATCTCCCACTTGATAGGATACATCTTGACAATGTTAATCCTTATCATATAATTTTCTCTAAATTGATCTTTTGAGTTTGAAATATTGTTAATGCTTATTTTAGCAACATAGGTATTGTTGATCCTCTAATATATATCTATCTATGACTTTGATATTATTCATTAGGCCAATAAAGCCAAATTAGGTTTAGCATTGCATATGCATGGTGAATCTTTAGCTATAGGGTAATTACAATAGACTAGCCTTTCTCTCAATATTCTTAATTCTATTAAAAGAGAACTGTTTATTTACAATAATTTATCAAAATCTTACTAACAAGTTTGGGATTTTATTTAGGAGGGTTTTATATCATCTATATATAGGGGCATATCAACTTTTGTAGGTGTGCATTTTAGATAAAGAGGTAATCCTATAACTTAGTTAAATTGATGCATTTCTCACAAAGTGTGAATATTGTGAATTTTTTTAGAGTTGTTTCATTGATGGTGGTTTAGATTCAAGTATGCATTGACAAAAAAATTGATTTTCTACAAAAAAAAAAAAAGGGATTATATCACTAATATGATTGTGGGTGTTGAAAATTATATGTCAACAAGTTTTTTTAAAATATTTTCTTTTACTTCAACAGTGGCAAAAGATTAGTTATACTGGACCTATCATTAATTTTCACCCAAGCTATTTGAGAAATTGGTCAATATATGTGAAGAAAGGAAATCTTAAATTGTTATTTAGTCAAATATACTTCACACAATAATGAGAAATTTATGTTATTGGCTTACACTTAGTAGTGTTGGGAACCTCTATAATATTAAGCATAGTCCCTCAATATGTATATAGTACATATAACAAACACTTTAAAACAATAATAATATATGAATTATCCACCAATTGACTATTATATTATATTTAACTTTTTATTAACATTTTTTATCTCTATACTTTTATGGTTCAAAACTTATAACACTATGCCATTGACACTCTGGTGTTTTAATAATATTGCACTAGAGTGATGTAAATATAAGCCCCACAAAGTTTTTGACAAGCCATGACATGCCCAACTTGGTCCACTTTAATATATTTAGTTCCACACAATGTAAGAGGTTTTCAAAATGAACACTAAATTATTTATACACCCTTCATGAATATGATATAATTCTTAGAAGACATTGTAATAAATCCAAATGTATGTTTGAAGGCTTTTGAAAGAATACTCCAATCCCTATAAATAGTTGTGTTGAGAACATTGTGCCACTACAGGATTATCATTTGAAAACACATGGAAATTCATGTAAATATCAGGTATTATACCTGGAATAATAAGTGGTAATCACAATAAATTGATCAAACCAATAATACACATCATCCTTGGGATTACATGGAAGAAACTTAGCCAAATTAACAACAATAAAAACTCTAAAACACTATAACTTATATAAAGGAGCACATGGTCACTTACTTCAAAGAATATTTTGATTTTAGAGAATTAAATCATTCTCAAATACATACTCTAATATCTAGGAGAGATAAATTTCTCTTGATCTCTTGTCAAGATGATCATACAGTGCATAAGATCGAAATCCTATCAACACAAGGAAGAACAATGGTCAAAATACAGGGCACTGAAATTTTGAAAGGTTTTATTCATTCTTAAACGACTTAAGTTTGAAATGTACTTGGCTGCTATGTTGAGACGGATAATTTTTCCTTCAATGTGCTCTCTGAACTCTCAAGAGCTGACACAAGGAGACTACTACTTCTTCCAGCCTTGGAAATCCATATCTTTACCAGCAGGCACCCGGGACTTTGCTGGAACAGCGTCGCCTTAAACTCGGATTTCCCATCAGAATTTCGTTGGTCGAATCCTTCTCTTTGATCGCCAGGAGTTCCAGTGATCGCAAAAGAAGCCGCATCGATCTTGCAAGCCACCCCGCGAGCTTCCAAGTGCCTCCCAAGATCTCCCAGAACCTCCAACGCACTGCATTTTCGATCGATGCCCTCCAAAACGAACGAGAAACTCCCGCTGCTGCTCGTCCCAGTCCCGAAACAACTTCGCCCAGATCCACTCTTCACTGCTCCAGCACTCGAGAAACTCCATGCCAGCCCCCACCTCGACGTCTTTCCTTGCACAAACTCGGTGGTCTTCACCATCGTTGCTCCACAGCCTCGAATCTCGGCCTTGAGAGCCCTCAAGCTGGATTTCTTCCCGACCATGCTCGTGTACCAGTGGATCTTCGTCCCGAGCTCCATGCTCTCGTGGATCAGCCTGCTCACAAACCCGGCCTCTCCTCCGGTGCAAACCATCTCCTCCGGCGTTCCACCGCAGGCCGTGCGAGGATTCATCCCGGCCTCCTCCATGCTCTCGAAGAACGGTGGATTGCACATACTGAAGTCGAAGATCTCCTCATCTTTCACCACTCCAACGAGCAGCCTGTGGTTTTCTTCCTGATCTTCACCACCATTCTTCGCAGCGCTTCTCAGTTCGATCAGCTCCATGAGGTGTGGATTCGCCGCGATGTTCCTCCTTCCCCATTCCAGCGCCACACTCGTCACGTCCGTCGCTACGAACTTCCATCCCCGCAAGGAAGCCCCGAGGAGAGGATAGATCGTGCTAGCGCCGGTCCCAATGTCTAGACCAAGAACTCCCCCCTCTACATTCTTCCCTGGAGCTGGAAACTCTTGGAGCAAATCCTCGATCCAGTGGATGTAGTTTGCACGATTCGTCACCGCCGGGCAGAGCTGGCCGTCGGGAATCCACCAGCCGAGAATGCCGTAGTCGCAATCCAAGAGAACTCGAGTGAGCTCTCTTGTGGCGGCGTAGTCCCTCCAATCGATGCTGCCCCGCCCAGTGGAGGGATTGATCCTCACGTAGCGCGCAAACGAGGCGTAGCGCGCCGCCAGCGCTGCGAAATCTGGACTGCCCTCGGCATACCTGTTTCGTGGGTGCGTCGATCGCTTCCTCTTCATCCAAAGAACCAATATTAGGGTTCTTCGTTCTCCATGGGCAATTCTTCGTCTCCATGGAAGAACCAAGATTAGGGTTCTTCGTCCTCCATGCGCTTTGGCCTTGTCGAGCTCCGCTTGGCAAGATTTCACAGGTGCGCTGCTCTCTCGTCACGATTCTCGGCCTTTCAAAGAATGCGCTCTCTCTTTGGCCAGATCTTACAGCACTCTCCAGGAGCAGCGCTCCGCGAATCCGCAAGAGCTCCGGCGAGATCTCGACAGATTATGCGAGGTTCTTGATCCCGCGGCGGTAGATCGTGCTCACCTCACACGCCTGCTCAAGCAGTGCGGGATTCTCCAGTCCACCTCCGAGGCACGGCGACTCCATTCTTGGATCGCGAAGACCGGGCTCGATCGGGATCCATTCTTCGCCAACAATGTCGTCCAGATGTACAGCCGCTGCGGCAGCATCGACGAGGCCGCCAGGGTTTTCCATGCCACGCCGCGCAAGAACGCCCGATCGTGCGAGATCATGCTCGCGGCATTCGCGAGGAGCGGGGATCTCGATTCGGCAAAGCAGATGTTCGATGCGATGCCGGAGCCTGGAGTTCCGGCCTGGAATTCCATGATCGCGGCGCACTTCCACAGCGGGGATTCCATCGCGGCGCTGAGGTTCTTCCAGCGGATGATGGCCGAAGGGATTCGTCCCAATCCACGGAGCTTCGTCGCCGCGCTGGATGCCTGCTCGCGGCTGGAAGAGGGGGATTTCATCCACGAGCTCGCGATCGCGGTAGGCCTGGCATCCGACGCCATTGTTGGATTCTCACTGGTGGGCTTCTACAGGCGATGCCACAGGCTAGATCTCGCTCGCAAAGTCTTCGACAAGGTGGAAGAGATCACCGCGCCGCTGTGGACGCAGATGATCGCAGCGTATGCCAAGGCAGGGCATTTGCTCGAGGCGAGAGCTTTGTTCGATGATCTTCCCGAGAAGGACTCCGTGTCGTGGACGTGCATCGTCGCAGCTTACGCACACCGAGGCCGATGGATCGAAGCGAAGCAGCTGTTCGACGAGATGCCCGGCCGCGATGTCATCGCCTGGAACGCGATGATCTCCGCGAATGCCCAGAGCGGGCGCTCGGATCAAGCTCTCGAGCTGCTACTCCTGATGGATCTCGACGGCGTCCATCCAAACAGCGTCACCTTCTTGAGCGCTCTCGAGGCTTGCACGAACTTGAGTGATGCTTCCCGAGGATCAAAGCTCCACACGGAAGGTATGCTCGGCTCTGGCATTGAAAACTCTCGCAAGGTGTCTAACGCGCTCATCAACATGTACGGCAAATGCAGGGAGCTGGGCCGGGCCAAGGCGGTGTTTGACGGCATGAGCGATCGAGACACGGTTTCCTGGACGACCATGCTCGCATCCTTTGCGGAGAACGGTGACTTGGAGCAAGCAAGCCGAGCTTTCGACCGGATCCCGGAGAGACAATGCGTGGCTTTCAACTCGATGCTGGCGGCGTATGCCCAAAACGGGCATATCGAAGAGGCAAAGCAGCTCTACGACGACGCGATCCACGAGCCGGACATCGTTGCTTTCACGACGCTGCTCACGGCATTTGCTCAGCACGGCCGAGGCGAGCAGGCGCTGTGCTTGCTCCGGGCCGGGGATTTGGAAGGACTGGAGATGGATCTCGTCAGCTTCGTGGGGATCCTCGACGCCTGTGCGTGCTGCGGAGCTCTCACCGAGGGAAGATCAATCCACCAGGAGGCTGTTCTTCGCGGTTTCCAGGACGACGTTACCATCGGCTCGGCGCTCGTCAACATGTATGGGAAGTGTGGACAAGTCGGGCCGGGAAGAGAAGTTTTCGACGGGATGCCGTGGAGGAACTCCATCACCTGGAACGCGATGCTCACGGCGTATGCACAGAACGGGCATAGCGCCGAGGCGCTGGAGCTGTTTCCAGTGATGATCCTCGACGGTGCCGAGCCATCCGAGGTAACTTTCATCACGCTTCTCTCGGCTTGCGCTCAAGCGGGACTTTTGCAGGATGGCCTCCGCGTGTTTGCTCTCATGGAGCGCGACTTTGGAGTGGCTCGCGGCGCCGGGAACGCTGTGTGCCTGGTGGATTTGCTGGGGAGAGCTGGGAGGCTGGAGGCTGCCGAGGAGATGTTTGCGTGGGTGCCTGTGGAGGAGCGTGATACTGCATGGACGGCCTTGTGGGGGAGCTGTAAGATCCATGGCGATGGTGGGAGAGGTGTGAGAGCCGCCGAGTCTGTGCTCGCGTTGGATCCAGTGGCGTCTACGCCTTACTCGCTACTCACTGAGGCTCTGGTGATGCCACACCTGGAAATCTACTAAGATTTGGAGCTTAACATCAACTTTTTATTGGACGAGATTTACAGTCTATAAGAGTTTGATCGCGAGTTTTGGAGCTGGGTCTTTGCGAGATCTGGCACCCCTTGTGAGAGAGAGGGAAATAGTTGCGAATAAGAATGATTCAAAGATTCGTTTGGAACTTCGACTTTAACACGACCAAATGGCACAAGCATGAGGTGAGCATTGCGCTGGCGCCACACACGATCAACATCCGAAACAACGAGCAGTTCCTAACTCCAAGATCGCATCCAGGTTTGTTGCTCTTTCCATCGCATGTCTTTCTAATTTGATCCGATGGATTCACGATGCATGAATTTCTTCGTGAGTATTTTCCTTTGTGAGCAACAACGACCACATTCTTTAATTTGTTTCCATAACGCCAACTAAGAATGGACCTTTAGAACTTGAAAGCCCAAATGAACCAATTGCCATGGTGAATGATCCAGCTCATCCAGCTGGAATTTCTCACAACAACATACTGCAATCTGCATGCTGCTGCTGTGTAATATACCGAAGCTGCTGAGCCACACCAGAGAGGAATATAATGCAGAGCTTCCAAAGTACAAAGACTGCAAGCAGCCTGATCGTTGCAAGTGAGTTCTCCAGGCAAGTCACCATGCTGGGTGGTGATATTGCTCGAGGTGTGGAGCATATCAGTGAAGGCTGCTCCGATAGCACTTCTTGATGGATCCCAGATAGATAACTTTCTGCACGAGCATACCAGAGTGTTGGCCAGGTAGCTCTCCCAGCAAACTGGAGCTGCTGGCGCTGGAGCTGGAGCTGAAACTGGAGTTGGAACTTGAGAGATTTTGAAAGGAGGAGATCTCTTGGCTCCAGCAATTGTGATTATAAAGGAGAGCACTAAGTAAACTTCACCTTGATCCATTGTCTATGATATTGTTCGGCTTGGAAATCTGGTAGTAATTTATATAAAAGTCAGGAGGAAGGCTCCGCAAATGATCAAAAGTGAACAAATGATTTGACCATAATTATTAAAGTTTGCTCTAACGTTTCTTTTGTATTATAAGCAAACATTGAGTCGTATAGGTATGAATGAGTCTGATAATAGCTAATTCATATGCTTCTAGATAACAATTGCCAGCCTTTATAATTGTGGTCAAAATAATTGTCTACTTCAAATCATTTGCCAGCCAGTAGGCCTTCTTCATGACTTATATATATATCAGGTTTCCAAGCTCAAAACAGTCAGTTCATAGTTCATAGACAATGGAGCAAGGTAAAGTTTTCTTAGTGCTCTCCCTGGTAATCACAATTGCTGGAGCCAAGAGATATCCTCTTCCCAGAATTTCTCCAGTTCCAACTCCAGCTTCAGCTCGAGTTCCAATTGTAGCTCCAGCTCCAGCTCCAGCAGCTCTTGGACTTTGCTGGAAGAGCTACCTAGCCAACACGTTGGTATGCTCTTGTGCAAAATTATCTGTCTGGGATCCATCAACCAGGGCTATTGGAGCAGCCTTGACTGATATGGTCCGCACCTCAAGCAATATCACCACCCAGCATGGTGACTTGTTTGGAGCTCTCACTTGCAACGATCAGGCTGCTTGCAGGCTTTGTACTTTGGAAGCTATAAATTCTATCTCCTTCTGGTGTGGCTCTGCAGCTTCGGTGTCTTACACAACAGCAGCATGTAGAGTGCAGTATGTTGTGAAAAATACCAGCTGGGTCAGTTGGATCATTCGCCAAGGCAACTGGTTCGTTCAGGCTTTCAAGTTCCATTGAAGAAGTTTCAGCATGCCTGGAAATAAATTGAGGAACATAGAACTCAAAAGAAAATAAGATGCATTTTAAAACACCTTTCTTTAGATACATCCCGGGACTTTTTCCTTTATAAGGAAAGGGTGTGTAAGCCGGAGCTTGATTGCTGAAGAAAAATATTATGAATGGGGAAGAGGTATAGTAATGAATTTCTGCAACCAGGCAGGGACACCATTCTTGAATCATGATCGGTGAGATTTGGCAATGAACACATGGGGCAAGAGCTCTTGTGGATCTCACCTGTTGGCGTTGTGGCGAGTTTTGGTGGGTCATGATATCGGTAAGATGGCGAGGAAGTCGCCGCGGGGGTGATCGGCCACCCGAGGGGGACCAACCTTGGCTACATATCTTCAAAGCGACCCCCCCCTGTAGGTGCATGCGTTAAGTTTGACTCGATTGCTTGGGGGGCGCGGGCTCGGGCGGTCGAGGAATCGGGAGGGGAGGCCGTGTCTTGGGGTCCCGGGGGCGAGGTTGAGCCGGTCTCGCACTCGGACTATTGAGGACGGACCGGTGGACTGTCAGTCAACGATGAGTACCGGCTGGTCCCATGCGTGTGTGGTGCATTTTTTGGCACTTTATGACGAGGTGACAGTCACATTTGAAATTGTGGCTGGAGCTATGGCGTCACGACTGAGGTCGAGGATGTATCGCGGCTGAGCTTGAGGACGTGCTGTTGATGTAGGGCTTGTGGGCTTGAAGCAGGGACGGTCGAGAGACGCTTCACAAGGCTGTTGCTGAAGATGTTTGGGGCCAGACATGTCTGTGGACCCTGTCAAGCTTCTGTCTTGCAAGATCTTCGTAGCTTCTGAGGTCTCGATCTTGTGGCTGCAACATTACAGAAAAACAGCTCGTAAGAGCTTACCTCGCATTGCCTAGCCCAATGGCCAGCCCTTTCAATTGCCAATACAAGTTTTTGAACGCTATGCCTGGATGGCTTATAACATCCAATAATTTACACTGTTTATATGATCTGCCACTCCACTTAAAAGCTTGAGACTGTGTTTTCATTGCATATGAGCTCCTAACAGACCATGTTCTTACTTGATTTCACTCGTACTAGAACGAGGAAATGCCAACACAAACATCCAAGGATTTGCTATGAAGGACAAAGCCTTGAGATGTTAGAACTCCTAATGGTATTTCATTTTACATGAATTGTCGATGCAAAGGTCTCTTGGAAACTCAACCAGAGAGATGCTTTTCTCTTTGAGTACCTCAAAACGAAGAGAGGCAAGGAAAACAAGACAATGAACGAAAGATGCAAGGGGATAGAAACAACTCAAAGATGTCCAAGGGAGAAAAACAAAAAAATAGAGAGGAAAAAAAAACTAGCAAACCATGTCATAATTGTACCTTGCCCTGTACACAACAGCGGGTGCATCATGGCTGGGACAAATTTCTTTTTCTCTTTTTCTTCGAGTGTTCATCCACATTAAGATCTAAAATGTAAGTTCAAACAACAATGCAGAATCATAAGATAACCATGGTCTTGAGATCACTTCAACCTTTCTCATGAAACTTGGGAGTCAATTGTCTTGGATCAACAACTTGCCATCAAACTTCTTTGATTCCCTTTGTTGTTTGCTGGCTGTAAACTCTCACAGAGACTTTGGAGCTCTTCACTTGAATTCCCCTGGATGGCAAGATTGACATGACCAGAGCATAAAAACAATCAAAATCCAAAAGACATGCAATCGATGACTAGAAACTAGACCTGGTTGACCCCCTGGATTGACCACTTATTTGCATGTTAGAATTGGAGCATGAGAAATTTTTGATCCATCCTAGGCTCCAATTGGTATGTTTGTCGCTCTAGAGCTATGTAAAGTGAAATGTAGGTGGAAGTAAAGAGAAGGCACAAATAAACTCATTTGAGGTTTTGAGAAATTTTATGCATATTTACATGGTTTTTAGACATTCTTAGAAGGTGGTTATGCTGTAGTTACTTTGTTATTGAAGTGGAAGAATTTGGTTGGAGTTTTGAAATTTCAGATATATAATTTCGATGTTGTTCACCACTTGACGCTCGTTCTCGAGTTTATTTTTCTTTTTTATTCTCTTCTTATGTTTCTAATGAGCTTGTTATTCTAGCATTTGTGGATTCTTTGGACAAGGATTCTATGCCATTGATGGTTACTATACTTGATGTTCAATGTTTACAAGGTGTAGAGCAAGATTTACCTTCTCTTGATGAGATTCATGAAATTCAAAAGGTTAAGCTATAGATCTAAAAGCTTTACGATGGGTTTGAGAATCCTATATCACTTGTTAATGATTTACCATTCCGGTATTTACATTTTTAATATCACTTTGAGAATGATTTTCTTTATTTTGTAAGGATAAATGTTAATAATCATTTACACACTTTCTCCACGCCTACTATGATTCTTTTATTTTAGGCAGGCATATAGGATATTATCGTATGATTAAGAAGTTATAGAGATATTTCTATTGATTAGAGATGCAATGTGATATTATTTGATATATATGTAGTTGCATTTAATATTAAGTTCATAATACTCCCTCTTGTGTTACAAAAGGACAATTGGAGTTAATTGTAATTTCTTGTTTATTTAAGTTGGTGGCATTTAATCTAATAGGGCCTTTTCCATGGTCAATTGCTAAAACTAAGTATGTTATTATTGTTTATGACTACTTAACTTGCTAGGTGGAAGTTAGTACTTTTGCTAATGCATTTACAACTACTGTTAGATACAAAGTGGATGATTTGGTGTTAATATAATTAGCACAATCTATAAATCCATTGACACCTCCTTCTAATGTTCCTCTAGATCTTAGCCTATCCACTAAAGAACCTTGACTATCTTTCATCATTCTTAGAGGAGGTGATGAAGGTCCAAATGTATGGCTATAATATCGTATACTAATATTAGCATAATAGGATTTTGATAGTTGTTAGATTGGTTTTAATCTGGACCACTTGCTCTTATATATAAACTAGGGTTTTTGGGCTAATTGATATGCATATTTGTATATTCTATTTCTGTATTCCATGTACTCATATTTTATAATTTTTTATTTTTTAATATATATTTTTAAATATTAATTAGACATATATATCATTTATATAAATACTATTTTTAAAAAGGATTTTCATTAAACAAAAATAATTAAAAAACTTATAATGAAGCTATGAGTGATTAGGATATAGGATAAGTGTGTTAATTGGAGTTTAGACCTCTACTTATTTACAAGAGTGGATGGACCAAATTTAATCCTAAATAGATGGTACATACGCTATAATACTATAATTAGTGTATAGTTATATATATATATATATATATATATATATATGTGTGTGTGTGTGTGTGTGTGTGTGTGTGTGTATGTATGTATGTATGTATA